TTATTAAGTCCTCGCCACCTGCTTTCAAAAAATTGACCGATGAAGAGATGCAGCAGAAGCGTTCGAAGGGTCTATGTTTCCGTTGCGACAAGAAATACAGCCCTGGTCATCGTTGTGCTCAGAAATCACTTCAGGTTTTATGGGTTCAGGATGATGTGGAGGAAATTGCTTTTGATGTGTCTAATTTGGACAGCACTTCGGCTGACACTGAAATTGCTCTAGCTCCAGATTCGGTCATGCTTTGTGTTTCATCTCTTGTGGGCTTGTGTGCTGCTAATTCCCTTAAGGTGCGTGGACGCATTTTGTCGCGTGAGGTAGTCGTATTGATAGACTCAGGTGCATCCCACAATTTTATCTCTGAAGCTTTAATTGAGGAATTGAAATTGCCCCGTACTCCTACACACGAGTTTGGAGTTCAGATGGGTAATGGCAATGAGGTGAGAACTTCTGGAGTCTGCTGTCAGGTTTGCCTCAACTTACCTGAATTGGATGTCATTGCAGATTTCTTCCCTTTGAAATTGGGCTCTACGGATGTCATTCTTGGTTTTCATTGGTTAGCATCTCTCGGTGATTCAGTGATGAATTGGGGTAACATGTCTATGAAGCTCAATTTGGGGGGTATCCGTGTGAAACTGCAGGGCGACCCTTATCTCTGTTCTTCTCAGGTGTCTTTGCACGCTATGATGCGTAACTTGCAACATGAGGGACAAGGGGTTTTGTTGGAACTGAGACAATTGCAGGTGGTGGATTCTTCTTTGAACTTTGCTTTGTCTACACCCCTGTCTCTGCCAATTTCTTCTTTACTGGATGAGTTCAAAGATGTTTTTGATATGCCTACGAGTTTACCCCCTACTTGGGCTACGGAGCATGCTATTGTCTTGCGTGAAGGCACTTCCCCTATCTCTGTTCGTCCTTACAGATACCCCCAGTTCCAGAAAGATGAAATTGAACGCCTTGTCTCCGAGATGCTAGCTGTGGGTATTATTCAGCCAAGTACAAGCCCTTACTCGAGCCCGGCCCTTTTAGTTAAGAAAAAGGACGGAAGCTGGCGTTTCTGTGTGGATTACCGAGCCCTTAACCGTGCCACGGTTCCGGATAAGTTTCCCATTCCGATTATCGAAGAACTTCTCGATGAGCTTAATGGTGCTTCTATTTTCAGCAAAATTGATCTTAAATCGGGCTACCATCAGATTCGTGTCCGCAGTGAGGATATTCCCAAGACCGCATTTCACACACACGAGGGCCATTATGAGTTCCTTGTCATGCCCTTCGGTCTTACTAATGCGCCATCGACTTTTCAGTCGTTAATGAATACTGTTTTCCATGATTTCCTTCGTTGCTTTGTTCTGGTGTTTTTTGATGATATTCTGGTTTATAGTGCTTCCAAAGTTACCCATTTGGATCACCTTCAGCAGGTCTTTTCTGTGTTGCGCGCCCACTGTCTTTTTGCTAACTCAAAGAAATGTATCTTTGCTCAGCCTAGCATTGAATACCTGGGTCATATTATCAGTGCGACTGATGCTTCTGTCGATCCTTCTAAAATCCAGGCCATGGTTGATTGGCCCCAACCATCTTCACTTAAAGCTCTTCGCGGTTTCTGGGACTTACAAGCTATTATCGCCGTTTTGTGCGTAACTACAGTAAAATAGCATGGCCATTGACACAGCAGCTTAAAAAGGATGCCTTCTCATGGAATGCGGAAGCTGAGAATGCTTTTCAAGAGTTGAAACGGGCTATGACGACAGTACCTGTGTTGGCCCTTCCGGATTTTTCCCAACCCTTCTTGATCGAGACAGATGCATCCGGTATGGGTCTCGGTGCGGTATTGATGCAGAATAATCGCCCTATAGCTTTTTACAGCCACAAGCTTAGTCCGTCTACATAGTCTAAATCTGTTTACGAGCATGAGTTAATGGCCATTGTCTTTGCCATTAAAAAGTGGCGCCCCTATCTTCTTGGTAGGCGCTTTACTGTACGTACCGACCAGCGTAGTCTTAAGTATCTGTTGGAGCAGCGGGTTGTCGAAGGTGAGCATCATAAGTGGCTCCTTAAGCTTATGAATTATGATTTTGAGATTCAGTACAAACCTGGTACTGAAAATGCCGTGGCTAACGCTCTTTCCAGAGTTCCTGCTGAAATGCACTTAAATTCTCTTACAGTCCCTATTTTTCTTGATTTTGATGACCTTAAGGAGCAAGTCGATGCAGAATCTTTTCTGGCCAACATTAAAAATGTTATACAACAGGATCCTGCTGCCTATCCTGCCTACTCTTTAGTTGGGGATCACCTTCGTTATCAAGGTAAATTGGTTATGCCTGCTTCTTCTCCATTTATTCCCCTCTTACTTAAAGAGTTTCATTCTGGTGTTGTGGGGGGTCACGCTGGTATCCGCCAGACATATCAGTGTATAGCAACTGAATTTTATTGGCGGGGGATAAAACATTTTGTTCAGGAGTTTGTGCAGGCTTGTGATGTGTGTCAACGCAGTAAATATGAAGCCATGTCTCCTACTGGCCTTTTGCAACCTTTACCCGCTCCTGATCAGATCTGGGAGGATATTGCTATGGACTTTATTGAGGCTCTTCCTAAGTCTAAGGGATTTGATACAATTATGGTGGTGGTCGATCGTTTCTCCAAGTACGCCGATTTCATCCCTCTCAGTCATCCTTTCTCAGCTCTCACGATTGCTCAGGCTTTCTTACACAACATAGTTTGTTTACATGGCATTCCCCGATCAATTGTGTCTGATCGTGATAAAGTCTTTATGAGTTTCTTTTGGTGCGAGCTGTTCACTTTGCAAGGTTCAGAATTGCGTCGTAGTTCAGCTTACCATCCTCAGACGGATGGTCAATCGGAGGTGGTTAGTCGCTGTTTAGAGACTTATTTGCACTGTTTTGCGGCTGATTCTCCCTCTCGCTGGTCTTCTTGGTAATCTTGGGCGGAATATAGCTATAATACCTCCTTTCACACTACTGCTGGTATGACACCTTTTAAGGTGGTTTATGGGCGTGATCCTCCTCCATTAATCCGCTATGAGCTTGGTTCTACGGCTAATGCTGATGTTGAAGTTGTTCTCCTTCAACGTGACGCTATACTTACTGAGTTGCGTGCTCATCTACACCGTGCACAACAAAAGATGAAGGACTCGGCTGATGCGAGCCGGTGTAATGTGAATTTTGATGTCGGGGATTTGGTGTAGTGCGACCTTATCGCCAGCAGTCTTTAACTCGCCGAGTCAATGAAAAGCTTGCCCCTCATTTTTATGGACCATTTGCTATTGTGGAAAGAATTAGTGTTGTCGCTTATAAACTTCAACTTCCTCTAGAGGCACGGGTTCACCCAGTTTTTCATGTCTCGCAACTCAAAAAGGCGATTGGTAACCATATCTCTTCTCTTGTGATTCCTTCCACTTTGTCTGTTGATATGGAAATGCTTGTGGAACCAGCTGCCGTGCGCGGTGTGCGTCCATCCACTATGCTTGGAGTTACTGGTTTGGAAGTGCTTATTCATTGGTAGGACCTGCCTGATTTGGAAGACTCTTGGGAGCCTTTTGACTTGCTTCAAGACCAATTTCCTCATTTTAACCTTGAGGACAAGGTTAGACTTTGGGCGGCGGGTAATGATAGGCCTCCAATTATCCTTACATATGCTAGGAGAGGGAAAGGGCAGCGTAAGCCAGGTCAGCAGTCGGTTAAGGAGGGAAATGTTTAGATATTGGTGTGCTTATTGTAGCTATGCCAGCTGGGGCTTATTGTAGCTAGACCTGTTCATGGGTCGGGTGGCCCGACGGGCCGAACCGGCCCCCGGACGGGCTTGAACATGTTTCTAGGCCCGCGGGCTTAAACTCAGGCCAAAAAGCCCGGCCTGCAATAAATTCAAGCCGGGCTCGGGTTTTGTCAAAATAGCCCGACCCGAGCCCGGCCTGGCCTGACCTAAAATTAGACTTAAAATGGGTTATGTGATTATGTCCATTTGAATAAATTTTTTGATTTAAGAATGTAAAACTATGTTTTAAAACGTAAAAGAAAGGGAAAAAAACCATCTTGTAGGCCCATTGTTCATTTAAATAGGAAAAAAAAACATATGAATTTTTAATTCTAATTTGAATAGGGAAAATTGTAATTTCTTTTATTAGGTCGGGCTTTGGGCTCGGGCTCGGGCTTCGGGCTTTTTATCAAGGCCGGGCTCGGACCCAAGTTATAGGCCCGTTGGCCGGGCCGAGCTCGGGCTCGGACCTAGCGTATTTCCATTAATGATGAGTAAAAGCCCGGCCCGAGCCCGGCCCATGAACAGGACTAATTGTAGCTATGACAGCTGGGCATTTCTAGAGGGAGTTAGTTATGATGTCAGGAGGGAATAAGAAGGTAGTTTCGGGATAGAGAGGGATCATTCTTTGTGTGAGGAATATTTTGAGTGTTTGGGAGAGCCGGCGGTCTCTCGAAGAACCGACCAACTGTTATTACTTTCCTTTGAATGAATACAAGTTTCTTTTCATTTGAGTTGTGTATTTTTGCTGTGTATCTGAGAATTGTGTGTGAGATCTCCGGGACATATCAGATACATTTTCTACCAAATTGAGATGGTAGAGGGGGAAGGTCATTGGGCAACCCATCTCTCTCTTTATTTGATTATGGAGGCTTTCTATGTACATCATTTAATTCAAATTCCTCACTATACTGTGCATTTACAGTAATCAACCCAAAATGACCATGTCATTGATAAAACTCAATTAGAAAACCTAGCCCACATTTGTAGAATAGGGAGCAAAAATTAACAAAGACTACCTTACGAAAAAAAATATATACTTGTTAATGAAAGTGATAAAATAAAACAACTTCCAATAGAGAGAACTCCAAAAGAAATATATTGTCATTTTGTGCAACACCAGATGTTCAAGACTTGAGTTTTGAAGCATTTATAACATTTGACAGAATGGGTTTCCAAATATTGTATAAAGCAGGAAAAAAACATCAAATGTAGCAATTAAAAATCAAACTTACTTTATAGCATCCCGGCACATGCGACTGATATCTTCCTTGACAGAGCTCAAGCCATGACCTATATAATAACCATTCTTCATCCTATCTTCGATTTCTGCAACCTGACAAATTGAAGTGCACAAAAAACTTAAGAAAATTTTCAGAAATCAGAGAGTTTACCAGGCACATTGTATTTGCATGACAAACATTGTGATCATACCTTAGGCACAAAGAAATCAAAGGTATTCTCCTTCATGATGTCCTTCAGACTGACAGTAAGAAATTCCTCCATCCTCTTATACCCATTTTCACATTTCTTACCGAGCAACCGCCTCATATGAGCATCCCTTGATAGAAGGGCTGATGACTTTCTAGCATCAAGTAACTTAGCACGTCTGTAAGAGCTCTGCTGGAGTGATTGACTTGCTGAGTCTATCTTATACCAAGTAGAGCTATAATCAAGAGAACCTCCAGGCTCACTGGAATCATCAAAGTGAGTCCTTGAGACCTTCAAAGCTTTGGAAACTGAGGAACTTCTCTCAGCTATTTGTCTAAGGCTCCTCATTTTTGAATACGATTCTTCAGAAATCTTAGTGTCATGAGTACGGGTTTTCTTCCAACACACATTCTGAAACTTTTGTGACAACTCTCTAAACTGGTTGCAACCCTGAATATCTATAGAAGATATACAAGGGAAGAAATGAATAACTTCTTCAAGTGTCCCAGCACTAATATTTGTGCAACCAGTTAAAGTAATAGATACTATCTTTTCTTTGCTATAACCATTCTGCAAGTCAAATAAATAGGTAAGTTAACTAAGGGAAACTGTCAATTAACTTATAGCCAGCATTTCTATAGTAAATCAATAGCCTACCATAATGTTCTGGAACATGGAATCAGTGCAGTTGGGGCCTGCAAATGACAAGTTAACCTCCTTGGAAGCACCTTTGTAAAGCCTGACTACAGTATTCCAGTGCTTACAAGTAGCAGCAGCGAATGCAAGGGACTTCATATCAGCTCTCAGAATATGGAAAACCCGAGCAAGGATGCATCCATTAAGCAGACCCCAGTTCTCCCTCATAGCCTCAGGACTTGTAGCATTTTCTTGGTCAAAATTAGTTTCACCACATAATTCCTCAAATGAGCAGTCACCTCTCTGGAATGTCTGGAAATCTGCTTCCATTTCAGAGTCTGTTTCATTTTCATCAACCAGCAACCGAGCTCTTTTACAAGCACTAACACTATTTTTACCATCATCCTCTGTCATTAATTAAAGGTAAAATAGATGAGAAAAAGTCACTAACTGGAAAATTAACAGATTATAACATGAGGTAAAAGTTGAATGATTGAATCTTCAGGACTAGAGAGCAGGCCCCTGATACACTTATGGAGTTTAAACCCCACAGAGCAATGTGTTGTTCCAAATGGGAGAGTATATAGGTCAACAACTCAACAATTTTCTCATGTGATGTTCATTGGATTAAGTCGGTGGGACTTTTGATCCATTTCCTCAGAGCACACTTCAAGAGACTGCTTTGGGTGGCAGAATCCTCTTCAACCAGATCCATGGTTGCTTCTAAGTGTAGGCCACCCAATGTTGTTAAAATCGTACAATTCATATCAAATCGTTCATAAGACAATATGAATCATATACATATATATAGCATTTTTTTTTGAAAAAAATGTATGATTTATGTATGAATCGTAGATTTGAATCACAAATCGCAAGTTATATGCAATTCATATCATTACTTAAAGAGTGGTTTTAAAAATGAAAAGACTATTGTAGCCCTCATTTTCTAAACTTTCCTTTATATGGAGAGGGGCAATTGTGTCCTTTTATATAAAACTTAAATGGAAAGTCATTAGTCAATCGAATGATAACTCTCTGTTACAAAAGTAAAAGGTTGGGCAGGAGCAGAAACCCTCCTCCACGACTGTTGCTGTGCTGCATGAAAGTTCCAAAGCCAAGTCTTTTCAATTGCTTCTTCTCAACTTTTTTTGGATTGCTGCAAGAACAGGGGCTAAGAGGCTCACCCCTACTCTTGTTGTCTTCTTCTTGTGGTACTAAGGGGCTCTCCCCTATTATTTTGAAATCCTCTTATTTAATACAAGAACAGGAGCTCCGGGCCTCCGGCCCATTTTCTACCCTTTTTCACACAAACAGGGCTCCACCCTATTATTTTTAATTCTTCTTTAGAGGCCAAAAACAGAGGCTCTGCCTTTAATTTTTACCCTCTTTCTTTACTTTTTCTCAAAAAAAAACACTTTTTTTATGTAAAATAGCATTTTTCCATCGTTTTAAACACAAACGACAAGGGCCTCGCTCAGCTATTTTATCCTTGTTTTGATGCAAAACCGAGGCTTTCCTCCATTTTTCATGTTGTTTTTGACACAAAAACAGGGTTCTGCCCTACTATTTTCCCCCCCTTTTTTTTGTGCAAAACAAGGTTCCCTTTCCCATTTTTCCTATTGTTTTTTACACAAAAACAGGGACTTTGGCCTACTATTTCCCCCTCTTTTTGCTTGATGCAAAACAGGGGCTCCTCCTCATCTTTTTTCCATTGTTTTGACACAAAACAGGGACTAAACCCTACCATTAGGGGCTCCGTCCCTTTTTTTCTTTCTTTTTGTATTCTTTTTTCCAAGAAAACAGAACACCTCATGTGTATTTAGACTTGAAAATTTAAATGTCAGACTTCAAAATTAAAATGTGTACATTAACCATGATATCTTAGTGTAGACTTAACAGGGGCTCTGCCCCATATTTTATCCCTTTCATTTAGTGGCTATTTGCACATGAAAACAGGGTCTTTCCCTTTTCCGCTTCCTTTCATCCCCCCCCCCTTTCTTTTGAGAAAAGATAACTGGTTGTATTAAGAAAAAAGAAGGAACATATGAGAAGATGTACAGACTACAAGCAAACAGCAAAAGAAATTACAAAGGTAGAATTCTTTCACTATACAGATTTTCCCTAAAGGTATCCAATTTAGCCAAACCGTCAGCTGTAGTATTTAGTTCCCTGGGAAATCCAGATTAGATTTACAGCCAAGGTGTTCAAAATGTCTCTGGCCTCGGTCAGGTAATGAGCTAGTCTTCATGGGCCTCCCTCCTCCCTAACTATCTTATTGTATTTGCAGAGTTACCTTTTATTATTAGAACAGACCAGCCCTTTTCTTTAGCAATTCGAAGACCTGTGAGTGCAGCCATGATTTCTGCTTTTGAAGAATCAGCAACTCCGATTGGGCCACTAAAAGCCCACTTAATGCTTCCATCCCTTCCTCTAAAAACTCTGCCAATCCCCACAGCTCTGGGATTGCCCAAGGCACTGCCTTCAAAACTCAAAATGAGCTCTGATTCCAAACTTACAGGAACAGCATTTAATCTTCAAGAAGGTCTAGGTGAAGAGGAAAGGATTTCCCCCAAATTTCTTTGCAGAACATTCAGAGATAAGCCTTTGAACTACACAACAGAAGCCCACAGATTGCCCAAAAAAATAGTGTGGGAAAGCAAATCTTCAAAAGATCTAGTTCTGTTCCGAAAGAGACAATTGTTTCTTTCTTTCCAAACACACCACATCACTGCTTGGGCAACCATACACCAGTAAATTTTCCCCTACTTCCAAGAGCACTGCCCCTCCATTGTCGGATAAAGTCAATTATGTTCAGAAAAAACGCAGCTGTACTCTACAAGATTAAGGAAGTAGGACCAAATCTTCCTTGTCGGATAAAGTCAATTATGTTCAGAAAAAACGCAGCTGTACTCTACAAGATTAAGGAAGTAGGACCAAATCTTCCTTGTATCTGGGCAGTGTAGAAGGCGGTGATTAGTGGATTCACCATCCTTCAGACATAAGGGGCAAGCACGGGGGGAGATAAACAATCTGCCTTTGCTCTTCTTCTGAACCAAGTCACAAGTGTTGATTTTGTTGAGGCAGGCCTCCCACACAAAGAGACTCTAGAGGGAACATTAGAGCACCAGATCCTCTTGTGAGGAAAACAAGAGTTGGAGATTCCCAGAACCAAGGCCCTGAAGGACTTAGTTGAGAATTTTCCATCAGGTTGAAGTTTCCAAATGCATTGCTCTGGTATTGCTAAGGAAATGTAAACCTCACTTAGAGAACTTGAGATTTGCAGTCTCATCAATCTCTACTAGGTCTTCTGAAATTTAGATTCCAGTTAACTCCAGAGGGCGAGTGTTGATTTTGTTGAGGCAGGCCTCCCACACAAAGAAAGAGACTTTAGAGGGAATATTAGAGCACCAAATCCTCTTGTGAGGAAAACTAGAGTTGGAGATTCCCAGAACCAAGGCCCTGAAGGACTTAGTTGAGAATTTTCCATCAGGTTTAAGTTTCCAAATGCATTGTTCTGGGGTTGCAACGGAAATGTAGACCTCACTTAGAGAACTTAAGAGATTTGCAGTCTCATCAATCTCTACATTTCTTAAAGGTCTACTGAAATTTAGATTCCAGTTAACTCCAGAGGGTGAGGATTGGATACAGGAAGCAACAGTAACATCTTTAGTACATGAAGGTTGAACTTGAACAAGCGAGGAAAAGTGTTGGCCAAGGTATCTTCCCCCCACCAAAGGTCAGTCCAAGTTTTGATTTTAAAACCGTTACCCACTTTGAATCTGTTGAAAGAAATGAAAGAGGAGAAGGTTGAAGAAATACCTTTCCAAAGGTTTGAAGCTTTTACCAGATTCAAATGCACCTTACTATCCCAACCATTAGCTTGCCTTCCATACTTGCTGCTAATGACAGAAGTCCAAATAGCATCTGTTTCGACAGGGAACATCCTTAGCCACTTCCCTAAGAGTGCTTGGTTCCTCTCCTTGACATGTTCTAATTCGAGACCCCCAACTTCCTTAGATTTGTAAACCTGATCCCATCCAACCATAGTTTTCAAGGCGTCTAGGCGATTCTGGGCGACACTGGGGCGCCTAGGCATTGCCTAGGCAATAAAAATTTTATAATTTAAAAAACCGACTTTTGGCTAGTTTCCTAGTTTTATATACCATGTATGTTAATTGAAAAAAAAAAATAGCAATTCTCTTTATTAAGAACATTAAATTTTCTCTAAAAATGTGGCAAATCATCACACCTAAAAGATATAAATCTTTTACATATATTAATTTCATTATTTTCAAAAATAATACTACTGTAATAAGTATTTAATAGAGTAAATTCATATTAATTAGCAGCTAAAGAAGGTTATTAACTTTATATGATAAGTATTCAAGATGGAAAGTAAAATAGAAAAAAAAAAAAACAAGAATGGAGTTTTCTTTCTTTCTTTCTTTTTCTCTTCTCAAAACCCTTTGATCTTTTAAATTTCAATAGTAAAACATTAAAACAAAGTATAATTGATATATATATATATACATAGCATATAATAAAAATGTATTAACACATACATTAATAAGATACAGCAATATAAATGGTATTACAAAAGGCGCCCGCCTTGTCATTTTTGTCGCCTAGGCAGGGCGAGGCACCCAGCCAAGGGTGCCTAGTCGCCTAGGCAACACCTAGGCTGGCGCCTAGGCGACTTGACAACTATGCACCCAACTAGATGCAGTGTTTTAAAAGTCGCACCTCAGGAAAACCTAGGCATGGAGGAAAGGCACATTTCAGGTTTTGCCCTTCGCCCAGGTCCAGGTGTATGCCCTTCAGGAAGGCGCTCGCCTCTGAGCCTAGGCATGCGCCTTAGGCCAGGCGCTAGGCAGCCCAGTCGAGCGCCTTATGTATGTATTCAAATTTTTTTGTTTAATTCTCTATGGTTTAGTTTATAGATAGATATTATCATGTATAAAAGTTATTTTTCTTTTATTTTTTTACACCTGTTGCATACCATATGGTAAAAGAATAAAAGAATAATGGGAAATGAATCAAAACTTCCCAAAAAAGCAAAAGAAGTCTGATCGTTGAACTCCAGTCCAAGGCTCCATGAGCAAACCTTCTTGATCGTTCAGGTCCAGAATTCAGATTCAATCCATTCTTCAATCTTCCAGTGGCACATTCAATCAAAAATAGGTAACTTCTTTCTGTCTTTCTGTCTTTCTGTCTTTCTTTTCTTCTTTCTTTCTTTGTCCTTTATTTTCTTCTTACTGTTTTGCACTGAAAACAGGGGCTCCGCCCCTTCTTCTTCTTTCTTTCTTTCATTCATTTTTTTTTTATTCTTCACTGTTTTGCACCAAAAACAGGGGCTCCACCCCTTCTTCTTCCTCTTTCTTTCTCTGTTTCTATTTTTTTTCTTCTTCACTGTTTTGCACTGAAAACAGGGGCTCCACCCCTTTTTTTTTTCTTCCACAGTTCCACTGGTTTGCTGTTTGCACTGAAAACAGGGGCTCCAAGGCTCCAGCCCTCTTCTTCTTCTTCCTCCCTATTTTCTTTATTTCTTTTTTAGTTTTATTTCTTTATTTCTTTCTTAGTTTTTTTTTTTTCTTTCCACTGTATGCTTCATCAGTTTTACACCGAAAATAGTGGTGCAAGTTCCATTTATTTTTCTTTCTTTCTTCCAATGATTTTATCATTTTAAACATTTTTTTTTTCTTTCTGCTACCAATTTTATTCTTTTTTTCTCTAATTTTTATACTAAAACATTGATTCTGTCTTAGACTCATAATAGGCTTTACTGTGGTGTGGTCTTGAAGTCTTGGAGATTCACATCACATCCGATTCAGGTAAATACACTAATTTTCTATAGGTCTGCTGTATCTGTGTTTAGTTTTTTTTTTATATTTTTCAATATAATTATACTTGTAACTTAATAGTTATGTTAATAGGTTTTACTGTGTTTAGTTTTGATACTATGTTATTTTAATTATTTAATTGTTTAGAACTTTAGACTTTAGAATAGAAATTAGAACTTTAGATGCCATTGTCATACTCACATCTTAACTCTTAACTCTTAGAAATTTAGATTGTATTGTTTTTTGTATTTTTCTGATTTTTTTTAAATTTTTATATATTTTTTCTATTTTTTTGCACTTTCTGAAAATTTTGTGCGCCTCGCGCCTTGTGCCTTGCGCCTCAGGCGCAAATTGGCCCCTGTGCCTTTTTTGCACCTTGCGCTTTTAAAACACTGGGTAAGCTGGCTTAAAAATGGTCTGGTTCCATGATTGATCCAAAAAAAATGGTCTGGTTCCATGGCAATACTGAAACACCGTGAAAGAGAAGAGTGACAGAAAGGGAACTAGTTATCACCTTTTGCTGGATCCATAAACCAGCCAATCAGTTGGCTGATGCAATGGCAAGACAGGGAGTCAATGGAGAACACTTATTCCGGGGCCAGATAGGAACAAGTATTGTGACACAAATTGCATGACAAAAAGGGATCACAGGGTAGTAGGTAGTGACAGTCAGCCTGAGACGGGAGATGCAATGCACCTTTGTGCATACTATTGTTCTTTATTCTAATCAATAAAGCATCTATTAACAACCAAAAATTGCTAATGTGATGATTATGCCACCCAAACCATTCTGAATATCATAACTATCCAAGAGAGTAGGAAAGATCAATGTTGGGATTAACTAGTTGATAAATTGGGTATTTGGGTTAAATATTGGAAGATAGCTCCTAGGTAGACCCATTGATAACAGTCCCCTTATTCACATACATCCTTGTATCAATACTTTTATCCAAAAATAAGAAAGGAAAATGAAAAAACAGAACAAAGAACTCACACATAACTTCAAGGATTTTCTCATACCTGATCTTCGGGATGAGAAAGAACTTTTTGCAGTTGCTAAATTCAAGGGGAGCCTTTCCAATTCCTTCTTTGGCTGTTTAGCAGTGATCCATGGATCCAAGACCTCATTTATAGCAGCAGCAAACTCCCGGCTCTTGTAAGACTTCATGACCAACTCATGTAGCTTCCCACGAGCAAAACCAATAAATTGTGGGTGCAAACTGTGAAACGAACTTAAAGCAACATTGCCCACAACTTCTGCAGCAACCTCTGATTGAGAAAGGTGAACTCCAGATGAATCATTATCTGCTCCTTTTTCTTCTTGGGCATGGCTAGCAGCATTGGATGCTAGTGCAGTAGAGGTAACCGGAACCCAAATTTTATCAACTTTCCTGAAAACACTGGTATAGTTCTGGATATTACCTTTATCAACCAAAGCTTGCAACTCTGAGAATGACGATGGTCCATATTCATGGCCAGCACCATCAAGGTAGTACCAATCACCCAAATGCAATTGTAGTTCATCTATTGTGCAAACGTGATCTTTTTGAGTGCTAATGGGTGTTATACACTTCTGTAAACCCAGCAAATCCTGTTCAATATTCTTTTTGGATCCAGGAGCACCTTCTGATAATGAATTCTTGTTGTCACTACTTCCAGCAAAAGAACGTATGGATCTTGAATGACGATCATTTCCTCTAACTCTTATGCAAGGTTCAGAGATAAATGAACCATGGTCCTTGACAACACAAGCATTTATCCTGACAACTGGTAGCATAATACCCTTTGCTCCCCTAGCAGCCAGTGGTTTGGCTTGGCTTAGCTTGCTTATTCCATTGAAATCATTCCTATCATCAAAGAAAGAGAAGGCCCACGGGGGTAAATCAAGTCTTCTACTGTGCGAATGATAGTATAACTCATCCTTCCTATGCCACTGAGGGTCCTCATACCCAGATTTTGGCATCTGGCAAAGCGGGTAACCATCATTGATGACAAGTTTCTTTTTTGATGATCTATCCTGGGCAGCTTCATCATTCCTCTTCCAATCACCACCCTTGCAGGACCACCGCCCAGAAAACCAGTCAACAGAATCACCACCACCAAAAGCATAATCTTTGTCATGAAGTGCAGGCAACCTAATTTCTAAAGCTTCTTTTGATGTAATGTCAAAGGATCTCACAGAGTCCTCATCTCTTTGATGTCCATACGCCTCCCCAGTGCCAGATCGGAACCTTGTGAAACCTGCACATGCATGCAATAAACTCAAAATGGGACATGAACTGGAGAGGAAAATAAGTTGTTTAACCATCTTTCAAAACTTATATGAATAATCTCTGTGATGATGCATTGGCAGAAAAAAAAAAATGACTCATGGTAATACAATAATAACAATTATAATGCCATAGTATATCCTAAAGACCACTTTGAGGTCACCTTCACTAATGGAAAATCTACATTTTAGGTCCATTCTGACTGTGGATCAAGTTTCCTTTTGGGGTCCATTTTGCAAAAATTTGACGAAACGTAGATATGTTCTTTTTGAGGTAACCATTATAACAATTATAATGTTCTTTTTAGTTAAAATTCTAAAGACCATTTTGAGGTCACCTTCAGTAATGGAATATCTCCAAAATGGATCGTGAAACACCATAGTATGACCCAACTCCAAAAGGATTTCATACACCCAAAAAAAATCAGATAGTTAAAATTTTCAATTGGAATATTTCCATGCAAGCTAATGCTTAGGTACACCACTCACTAAACTTGACCTCACTTACATATGTAAGCACTATGGCAGCCAAGACAATGCCTAAACGTCCCCAAACCTCCTATATGTATAGACTGTTCCCTGGGTGAACAGTAGACCAAATCAATTGCACAGCACCAATGCCTAACACCAAATTGATTGCTCACAGATTTGCAACATATGCACATATGTTAATTCCAGATAAATAAATCAATGAGCTAAAATCAATGCAAATCCAGAAGTACCTTCATAGCTACCCCATTTCTCCCATTCTATGTGCTCAAAGGTTGCATGTAGTACTTCTGCAAGCCAACAAAACAGGGGAAAATACAATCAAAATAATCAAACTTACATGAAAACAACAAGAACAGAAGAATGCTTCAGAATAGTAAGAAAATGGGAAAGGAAAATGAAAAGAGAAGAAAAGTGTACCTCCAATGTTCTCGAGTTCCTTCCCAGGAATAATAGTGTAACCCCTTAGCAACTCCCCAACCCTTTCATCAATACGGAGATCTTCTATGAGCTCAGGTTCAACTAAACCGCTGGTAGCTTGTTCTTGTCTATACTGATTAACAGATTGTGCAGCATCGCCAGCATCTGACAACAGGTTCCCAGGAGCCTCAGGAGGGCTTACTAGCTGAGTTATAGAATCTGAAACAATTGATGGGAAGTTTACAGACACCAATGGAGAAGCAGCATTTTCAACTGTTACCCACCTATCACTCTCCGAATGCTTTATTAAATGATCTGATAGAAGAACCCCTTCATCAACAAGCCTCTTAAGGTCACGCAATTTAGAAGGACCTTGTTCAATACCAAGATGGTCGAGGTAAAACCATTTTCCTTGGTTTGAATCAACCATGACTGGAACATGTGGTGGTGTGTCACTTATATCCATGTCCTCTTCCATGGAGAGAAGCTCATCTGGAACTCCATCAACCTGAGGAGGTTCATTGGTCTCTGTGCTTGGGTTTTGCAACTGTTCTTCTTTGTGAGATTGATCGTTGACATTTTTCTCAACAGAACTACCACCATCATGCAAACTGGTGTCTTCTGGTTGTCTACTTGAATGCCTATGAGGATCTCCGACAGAATCCACCTGGTCGAGTTTTTCTTGGTGCCCTGTACTTCCATACCGATCATGCCGTCTATCACTCTTTCTACTAACTTCTCGATGATCACGGGTCCGACCACAATGAAGAGGCGACTGTTCCAAGTAACCCGGGGTCAGGTCCCTGCGGTCATGGCGCCTTGATCTGTCATATGGAGACCGCTCAGCATGAGTGGGGCTTTTGTTCCTAAGCTCATGGTAACGGGCCCGATCACGTGGGGACCTCTGACTGTGGACAGGACTTCGATCCTTATAATCATGATGCCGGGTCCGGTCATGTGGGGACCGCTCAGAATAACTTGGACTTCGCCTCCGGCAATGTCTGTCATGCACTCCTCTTGAAGATAAAGAAGAATCATAATGCCTAGATGAATACCTGCTTGATGATGAGACCCTTGATGAAGAGGAAGAATTCCTAAACGAGCTCTCCACCGAACAGCGTGAGTATTGCTTCTCCGAGTAGCCAGACCGGCTACTGTCATCAGTAATCCTCCGGCTTCTAGAACCTGAATAATCAACATATTCCCCATGGTATTTGCGCGTGCTGCTGTCGGAATCTGTACTATACCGTTTCAGCCAACTTCCAGAGGCGTACTCTCTCCCGTGGTTCTTCCCATCGCTGTGTTCGCGCTTGTAGGAACCTGGTTCCTCGTCTATGACTCTTGAACTGATCTTTGAGCCCCTCTCATGATCCCACCTGGAAGACCTTTTTCTACGCTCACTGTCAATTCTAGTGAAATCCTTTCTCTGAGAAGCATCCTCATCGGAAAACCTTGTAGAAGGTGGTGTATGATCTTGCTCACGTTTTCGCTCTCTTACGGAACCAAATCCATCCTTCACCACTTTCTCCGGTTCACCTCTCCGTGGTTCCCCTGAACTGTAGTCTGACCTTTCTACCTCACTTTTTCTCCACTTCACTGAATTGAACTCTCCCTTCTCTAGTTCTCTCCGCAGTCTTCCTGCACAAAATTCTCCCTTCTCTACTTTCCCCTTGGGCCATTTTTCTGGAATGAACTCTCCTTTCTCTACCTCCTCTTTCCTCCATCTATCAGGAACTAACTCTCCCTTCTCAGCTTCTCTTTTTTTCAATTTATCTGGAACAAACTCACCGTTCTCCAATTCTGCTTTCGGGCCCTTCGTTAAACACAATTCTCCCTCCTCCATTTCATCCTTCTTTGGCAGCGAGTTGGACAGAATCTCGTCCTTCTCAACTTCCCCTTTCTTCCCTCTCTCTAAACCCAATTCCCCCTTCTCTGCACCTCTTTTTCGCCCTTTGACTGAACCGAAATCTTCTTTCTCTACTTTCATTTTCTTCTCATGCTCTCTCTGAACTTGTGATTCTGCAAACTGAAGAGACTTGGAGTTGAAACCACCATTGCCCCCGCAGAACATATCCGGAATTGGAAACCTTTCCATAACATGCTGGGAAGGCACGCAGGCGACTCCGCCATCACCCATGGAAATCCAAGGACTACGGACAAGAACCCTAATTCTCCCCTTCCCTGTGGGTATCGACGCTCATACTGCAATTCCTTCCGCCGGCTCAATGAAGACACCAAACTCGAAACCCTAATTTGCATCAAAAACAAAGCCATAAACCAAGTTAGTAAAAAATAATCTAATAAAGCAATGTAGGGTTCCGGAAACAACAAAAAGAATTCAAAAACGCTTGAAACTGAGAATCAAAAAGGAACAAAAACCAAAGAAAACTCCGAAATTTATAGCCGACGTTCTGAATGCCAGGTCCAAAAACATACAATATATATGCAAATCAAAATCAATAAGAGAAAGAAAACTCACGACGAAAACCGAAGAGCTAGAGCAGTGGATCCGTAAGAGATTTCAGGAGATTAAACTGTAAATCCACGACAATACGGGAAGACGTACTCATGGATATACGTAAATGAAAAACGCCATGAAAGGGCTGCAAATGAAGCTCTATAACTCTCAGTAATCTCCTCTGCTCTCTTCCCTCCCTTTTCTCTCTCACAGAGATGAAAAAAGTCTGTTTGTTTTTTCTTTTTTTTTTATCTTTTCTTTTTTTCGTGTCTTCCTCTCTCTACCCTCCTAACTTATTCGGGAAACGATACCGGAGAAATACCGTCGAAAGCAGGGCATACGAAGACGATGAGATCGTATGTTAGTGTTAGACCATGGAGCAATAGGATATATATATATATATATATGGTCGCAAGTTGAAGCTCTCCGACTCGGGAGTTGAGGCTGGATGGATTCGGTTGATGGGCGAATGGGCGATTGAGATTTGGCCCATTTGGGGGAGTGCGAGATTTTCTTTTTTTTTTATTTATTTTTTTATGTTTTGTAAGATACGGATTACGGAAGGTATCCGTTTGTTCTAGCAGTGAAGAAGGGAAGAGTTCTCTTACAGTTAGTTTCTCAGTAGAGAGAGCATGGTCGGTGGGAACTGGGAATAGAACTGTGGTGGGGGCCTTTTAGTAAATTTGAACTTTATTGGCACTCAAATAATTGTATTTACCAATAAACTAATTAAAATTAAATTTTATTTTTAAGGGTTTGGACTATTGGAGGGAACCCCCAGGGTCTCAGGGAGCAGAATCCAATCTCTTTTGATTTCTTTAATAAAAAAAGATAAAGAAAAAAAATAGCCTGTTGGGGATATTTTGTATAACGGTTTGAAGTATGAATGAAGCCCAAACTCCCAAGAGTGATGGGTGAGACGTAGCAAGACCTCTTGTCTCACGGCTGCCGGCGCCGCACCTCTTTCTCTCTCTCTCTAAATCCTTCTTTTGTCATTTAATACATCGAGGCAACAAAGTGGATTTTGTTCTTTTAACTGGTAAAATGACGCGTGCTTCTCACGTGTACGTTAGCTTCCGATGAGCTTTGTGATCATACGTCATCAAATTAAACTTTAAATGAGCAAATCTAATATGTCAGAAAAATACACTTGAAATCATTGGTTGAACATCTCAAATTCTTGACCCCCTACGAGGTGCTTTGATGATTTTAGACACATGGAAGAAAGAAATTTACATATAGGAGCCGAACTAAACAAAACAGGCCAATGCATTGCCAAACAAAATTAGGATCCAATGAGAATTATTGTTTTCAAATGACTAATCCTTTAAAAATTCTAGATTAGAATCAAATTATGGGAGATGTTCCCAATGAACGACTAAAAATGTTGTGAGGTTGGTGTGAGGAGAAAATCCGAATCACCCCAAATTTGTGTAATTGGGTCCGCTTTTTTCCTTTTTTACTAGAAAAATGCAAAATAGAGAAAACGTAGGTGATGTTTGGCATCAATGCTGATATTCCTCATAGATTTTTTTCAAAAATCGGTAAATTAAATTTTGTTATTTGCTATGATTTCTGTCTTGTAAGTCGATATTTGAGAAATCAGATTCAAGTCTGTTTGGTACTGATTTTCAAAGTCCAATTATTTTTGTATTAGAGTTATTATTCAATGCCATATCATCTTCAAAAAATCGAAATTAATTGAAAATCAGAAAGTCACCAAAAAAAAGTAATCCTTGAAAAATGGCTGATTTCAAAATCATCAAAATCGGCCAACCAAACAGAAATTTCAACGCCGATTCTTCTAACACTAAGGTGGCTCCAACATGGCAATGATTTTTAGGAAATCAGCATCGATGCCAGACATCAGCATAGTCATGAAAGAGCATGAAAAGAAAACGATGCATGTTAATATAAGTTATAGCAACATTCCTCCTAGTCCAGAAAACATAATGAGTGGAAAGACTAGATAGACCGATTTGAAGGTTGGCTTGGATACAAGGCCAAGAAACCACACAAGATACATCAATCATAATATAATGGGACTTCTTCTCAATTAAAATATACAAAATGGACATCACAGCCATACAAGGAATTTGATGGAGGGTGATTTGGCCCGATCGCATAATGGGGGAACACGTGGAAATGACTCGACATAAGTGACAACTCGGCATGACAGCCTGGCCGCAACTCAGCGTGATGAGCTCGTTGGAGCCCAGCCTGATAGCTCGACACGAGCAACAGATCGCTACAAGGTGGTATTTAGGTTACCGCGAGCTCTCTCCCAAAGGGGGAGCGCCCCGAGGTCTCTCCAAATGAGGAGCCCCCAAACTCTTCCACAATAAGGAGCCTCCGAGCTCCTCCTCAGTAAGGAGTCCCCGAGCTCCTTCTCAAGAAGGGAGCACCCCAATCTAAGATCCCTGGGTAAGGAACATCCTGAACTGAAGGCACTTCGGGCAAGCTCGCTAGTAGGTTCCTGCCCAAGCCTAAGTAATCGACTCAAAGACTTACTTCGGGCAGAAGCATCTCAATATGTCAGCAGTAGCTCGGTACTAGGTAACTCGGTGCATCGCCTAACAACCATACCTGCCAGATCTGGAGACTACACTCACGTCTCTGGCCAGGCGGCGTCGTGCCTACCTGGCTCTGATAAGTGTCCCTTGTCTGGCAGGGCCGTACCCTACAATGGTTACCTACGCCCACTACCTCAGGTCTGGCAGTAACGGCTGCAACAGAGAATCAGTGGCGGTTACGCCAAAATTGACAGGGCATCAGTATAAAAAGGCCCCGATCCCCAAGGGACAAAGGTAATTGATTTCGCGCTATCTACACTCTTAGCTCTCCTTGTATTCTCTGCAATTATCTCTCAGAATTCTAACTTGATCGTCAGAGTGTTCCCGCCGGGTGAGCTCCCCAGGAATCCTTCACTGTCTTCTCCATCTCAGGTGTTGTCCGTCGCCAGCTAGGAGCCAGGCCACCGCCAGCTAGGAGTGACCGGATCGCACTACATCATTTGGCGGCGTCTGTGGGAACGCTTCAAAAAGCCTTCCACCAAAACTTTGCAGACTTCAGTTCTCATGGCTTCCTCCAGCAACGCCGGACGCAGTGCAGAAATGAACACCGCCGGGGAGCAACTCCAAGTCCCAACGGTGTGTATTGGACAGTTCATCGTCCCCCTCTCCACGGATGGAGTTCCCATTCTGAACGTGCCTCAGACAATGGCACCCGTGAACGCTCCACTCCGTTTCACAGTTGGAACAACCTTCATCGAACCCTCCCTTGTTCCTTCGGTGATCGCCCAAAACCAGCTTGAAGACCTAGTGCAATGCATGCGAGCTATGCAAGCTCAGATGCAACAGGTCTAGCAATTCCAACTATATCAGCAGCAAGTGTTGCACCAAGTTTCTTAGGATCACTACCAGCAGTAGTTTCCTCTGCTGCCTCAGACCCAGCAACCGCTTCCTCCTCGACATCCAGCAGCGCAACAAGTCAGGCCTCACCGTCGGAATGAACGTCCTTCTCGCCGGGGAGAGACCTCTCAGACCCAGAATCCTCTCAAGAGTCAAGTCTCATCCCATGGGAGGAAGGAAAGACCAGTTACCCCTGCCTCGCCGCGCGCGGTCAGGTCGGGAGGGTCCCAGCCTACTAGACCCGCATCGCCTCAACTTTCCGAGTTCGTGGCCCCGCTTGTGGAGAACCGGTTCGAGGTATTGGCCACAGATTCCATGCAAGATCCCTCTATCCGCAGCCATCACCAACAATTCGTCCCCCTCGCCGCGAAAACTGTGCCCGACAATACCGAGGCCAGCAGCACCAACGCGGAGCCCGCAAAAAAGCAGTGGAGACGTCGCCGAGCTCCCCGAACTACAACGCACTACTTGCCCAAACTCAAAGGAAAAGAAGAGGTAAGCTCGGGCGAAGTGAAAGCCACTTCGCTCCTCTCTGTACCATCCCCTCTATCTCCTAAACTCTTGGTCGTCCCAATGCCCAAGGACTTCAAACTACCTCCCCTAGACAAATATGATGGATCGTTCGACCCGAATGACCATGTTGACGCCTTCCAATCACATATGCACTTGGCAAGGGCCGATGAGTCCTGCATGTGCGTGGCTTTCTCCACCACTTTCAAAGGAGTGACCCGCACATGGTATAGGAACCTCACGCCCGGATCAATAAAAAGCTGGGTGCAATTCGTGCAAGTCTTCACTTCTCATTTCGTCACCAGCAAGCGGTGCCCGAGAACCCAGGAGAGCTTCCTTGGCATAGTCCAGAGGAAAGGAGAATCTATCCGAAGTTACATCAAACAGTTCAATAACGCTTGTTTACAGATACCAGACCTAGACCCCGCAGTTCAGCTTACAGTGGCCAAGAGAGGCATCACGCACAAAGAATTCAAGTGGCACGTGGTTGTTAATCGGCCCAAGACTGTAATTGAGTTCCTCAAGCTCGTGGACCGGTTTATAGGGACGGAGGAGGAAATCAACCAGAAGGGTGAGCAGGTCCCTGAAAAAAGAAAAAGGGAAGTCGAGTCCTCGACCCAAGGGGACAGAAAGAAGAAAAAAGACCCAACTCGAGGGGCAAGGCCAGGTCATCCTTTCCAAGCTCCACCAGCAGAGAGGACAGACTACACGCCTCTGAACGCGAAGTGGGCCGAGATCCTTATGGCGATCAAGGACGCCCCGTACGTGAAGTGGCCACCCCGACTTAGAGAGGACCCTAATGTAAGGAATAAGAACTTGTATTGTAGCTTCCATAAAGATCACGGTCATAGTACTAAGAGTTGTAAAAACCTCCGCGATGAAATAGAGGAGCTCATCCGTCGCAGATACTTAAGAAATAATAAAGCAGGTCAGTAGGGGGCAAAGTATAGATGCTCCTGAATCCAGCAGCAGGCAAGCAGAGCAGCCATAGAGGCAGCCCCCGGAGGAGAGACCAGTTCGGGGGACTATCCATGTGATCGTCGGAGGATGGATTGTTGCGGGCTGCACCTCGGCTGCAGCTCGGACATCAACCCGCGAGGTCAGAAGGGAAGACCAGAACCCCCCAAAGCGGCCAAGGACAGAAGACCCGATCTTCTTCACGGAGGATGACGCGTGCGGGGTCCACTACCCCCACGATGATGCGCTCATTGTGAAGATAAGGATTAACGACTTCAAAGTCAAGCGTGTCCTCGTCGACTCCGGCAGTTCGGCGGACATTCTTTTCAAGGCGGCATTCGACAAGCTTCAGCTCCAAGAAAGCAACCTCAAGCCCGCAAGTACTCCCTTGGTGGGCTTCAGCGGAGAGGAAGTCAGGCCCCTTGGGAGAATCACTGTACCTATGGAGGTCGGCACCTGGCCTAGCATAGTGAGGCTCAACCATGACTTCCTGGTGG